CAGCACGAGAGCAAGGTCCAAGTGACCGAGTCACCATCTTCTGTACAGACGGAGAAGTCCGACGCCCTTGAAGCGGCCCAGGCTGACAAGAAGCCTGAGGCAAGCACAATCAAGACGAGCGAGAAATAGCTTGTCCTCACTTGATTTGGTCGCGACTAATAACGTTTGGCTCGAAGGGGTTAAATTCGATGCATGATGATATGCAATGTCTCTCTTATGGATGTTTTGCAAGCGATGATGGATGTCTTGGTTTCCTGCAGGATCAAACGGGTCATGGAACAAGCCTGATGGATCGCAAGCGGGCAGAATCACGAAATGATACCTGGCGGATTCGATCTTCGCCTACTCTATAAGCTATCACTTTGTTCACGATACAGTGGTCCTATCAAGAGGGGCGTTTATTGTGACCTGTTCAACTGTGTTTCCAACGTTGGGCTGGGGAGCGTGCGGCTGCTTCGTGACGTCATATGTACCAGCCTCGCCCTGAGATCGCGTACTCCGTCGAATCCCAGCCTCCTTATGGGTGCTGCTTCTCACGCAAATGCATGCCTATGTATGCAAACAAGCTTTCTATGTGCCCCACTCTCCCGCTCCTCGGGCGATCTTCGACTCGCGCCTTGTCTTGACATGTCATCTTGATACTCTCGCGTCAGCGACTACACGTCAACCTTCAGTTTCGGGAAAGGTAACACATGATCAACTATGTCGATCGACAGTGGAGCCTCTGTTTCAATCATTTTGTCTGCTGTGTTTAACTACCGTCTGCATTACCGTAAACGAGGCCGGAGATAGTGGTTAGTGTTCAGGGTCCATTCCCGAGCATCATCACCTTTCGTCATAGCTTGCATCGGTCGTGCACGCGTCACAATTATGGCGTGGATCCGAGGGTACCGGTGGTATTTGGCTAACAGCGAATTGAATGCTTCTTTTCCTATATAAAAACTATCAGCGCTTTCCTTTAGTATACAGCCCCCCAGTTCTCTCCAAGTAATTACTCCGAGGTTGCGCCTGACTGACACAGTTGGCATCATGGACCCTGTAAATCCTAACCAGAAGGTTCGATCTACACCACAGTATGCGCTGTACCAACGGGAGAACTTCTGGAAATCCAACGAGGGCGAAGTGCCATTGTTCAATACTGGTGAGTATGATACGTATTTGGTGCGAACTCTCATTACACATGGCTAAAGTGCAGAACAGAGCCTGGTAAACTCGAAGAATTAGCGAAGGAGAAGCTCAGCCAGGGTGGCTGGTTTTATGGTAAGTCGTCACTATAAGGAATGCATATGAGACCTACACTAACTTCGCATCTTCACTTCTGCAGCCTCTTCCAATGCTGGTCAGTCGCACACTCATACCACAAACAGACAAGCATTCTACCGACATCGAATCATCCCGCGTATGCTAGTAGACACCAACCAGCGCGACACTGCGACGGAGATCTTTGGACATAAGGTTCCTGCGCCGATTGGATTTGCCCCTGTTGGCATCAACAAAATTTACAATCCACAAGGCGAGCTCCCTGTGGCAAGAGCCGCCGGCGCGTTGGGACTCCCATACTGTCTCTCGACCGCGGGGTCACAAAGCATAGAAGGTGTTGGCCAGGCCAACGATGAGGGTGTGAAAAAAGGTCGGGGAGATATTGGAACCGCTGCTGGTGGTGGAGAGAAGGGTGTGAGATTCTTCCAACTCTACATGCCGCACGATGACGAGCTCACTCGCTCGCTTCTTCAACGTGCCGTGGACAGCGGCTTTACAGCTTGCATCCTGACACTTGACACTTGGCAGCTGGGATGGCGACATGACGATGTCGCAAATTCAAACTATGCGTTCTACCATGGAATCGGTGCAGACCTGGGATTGACTGACCCTGTCTTCCAAAAGAGGCTGAAGGAAAAAGGCATTGATCCCAAGACACAGCCCAACGAAGCTGGTGCGCTGTGGATAGACAATGTATGGCACGGACGTGCGCACACCTGGGAAAAGGCTGAATGGGCGATGAAGCTGTGGAAAGAGCTCAGTGGGGGCAAGCCATTCTCTCTGAAGGGTATCCAGAGCGTGGAAGATGCAAAGAAGGCTGCTGATCTGGGTTTTGACGGCATCGTAGTCAGCAACCATGCAGGAAGGCAAGTTGATGGCGCGGTTGCCAGTCTTGATTCACTTGAAAAGATTGTCGATGGTATGTTCCATGTCTGCTTCTCGCTTGGTCGTGCATTACTAATAAGCCTCTAGCTGTCGGTGACAAGATATACATCATGTTCGACTCGGGCATCCGGTCTGCATCTGACGTCTTTAAAGCGCTTGCTCTGGGTGCAAAGTTTGTATTCGTCGGCCGCTTGTGGATCTGGGGTCTCTCAATAATGGGAGAGACGGGAGTAAACCATGTTATGCGCGGGCTACTAGCTGACCTCGATATTCTGATGAGTGTTGGAGGGTTCAGGAACATTGGGGAGATCACAAAAGATTCACTGGAAAGTGGACCGAAGAGTTACCCGCTTATGCATACTGCTAGCAAACTGTAGGCCATTAGAGCTTCGTCATGGCCCATGTCCCTTTTCCCTGCCGAGGCATTGCGCTCCGGAGACTTCTCTCGTATATACCAAGGAGCTTGTTCTAGATAAATAAAGTTTATGAGATGGCTAGACATGTATGTTAATATCTATCTTTTTCGTTTGTCAACTTAGCATTCAGCGGATGCTTCTAGAGTCAGCTTCGACAAAGCAGAACAGCTCTTGGAAAGTCTTCTGTTTGAGTATCAGGGGCGCGTGGGGATGACTCAAGGCTTCCGCCAGCATGTTACACCTTCTAATGATTCTCAGTATCAAATGCTTTCCACTTCTTCTGGCCATCACTCATGAGATTTAACGCGTCGGCAGGTGTCACGCTCACCGTCACCCTCTTCGTGCTCGTTGGCCAATGAGGAGCTTACATAGCACTAGGCCGCTATAGGCTGACCGCCGTAGGGCTGAGAGTGGTCCAAGCACTCCCGAACAAGACCAACTCCAACTCCTCAACGCGACACGCTTTTTCAATTGTGATCGCAACCTCGCACGCGTCATGATCCAGATTTCTCGCGCCTACTAACATCGTCGCATTAATTGTACTAAAAGAGTCTTTGACATATACAAAAGTTCACTCCTGATTCGCACTAAGAAAGACACCCTATAATCAAGATGTCGGTCATTCTGTGCACTGGTACGTGGAGCTGCCTACCCCACACTTGACAGGCAAACAGCTAACATACAATCGCAGCCGGCTACGACCACACGATCAGGTTCGCATACTTCTCACCCTCAATTGGTGGTAGCGCGTGCTGACACCTAGGGCTCCAGATTCTGGGAAGCACTCTCTGGTATATGCTCCCGAACTATCCCGCACCCAGACTCCCAAGTCAACCGTCTATGCATATCGCCTGACAAGCGATATCTCGCCGCCGCTGGCCACCACACGGTCAAGCTTTACGATATCAAGTCAACCAATCCGAACGCGATCCTCACCTTCGATGGCCACACGTCAAATATCACTGGTGTCGCCTTCCACTGCGAGTCAAAGTGGCTCGTCACCTCGTCCGAAGACGGCACAGTCAAGATCTGGGATACGCGATCAGGCAACGTCCAGCGTAACTACACCCACGGTGTTCCCGTCAACGATGTGGTTATCCATCCAAACCAGGGCGAACTCATCAGCTGCGACCGTGGTGGCAACGTAAGAATCTGGGACTTGGGAGAGAATAAGTGTTCTCACCAGCTCATCCCTGAGGACGATGTGAGCGTGGCTAGTGTTACGGTTGCTAGTGATGGCAGCATGGTGTGTGCGGGCAACAACGCCGTAAGTCTTGCCAGATAGTAGTCTTACCAATGTCTGCTAACACCGAGTTTTCAGGGCAACGTCTACGTCTGGCGCATGATACAGCGTAGCGATACCACCTCCATCCTCCCCATCTGCAAGTTTGTCGCACATACTACCTACATCACCCGTGTCCTTCTTTCCCCAGACGTCCGTCACCTAGCCACCTGTTCCGCCGACCACACCGCACGCATATGGTCTGTTGATCCTACTGCTCCTCACAACGTCACGCCCAACGACAACTTGCCATCAGCTAGCGAGCGCGATCCTGCTGCCTTCCCGTTGGAGACTACACTACACGGTCATCAGCGCTGGGTATGGGACTGCGCCTTCTCAGCGGACAGCGCCTACCTAGTCACCAGCTGCTCAGATCATTACGCGAGGCTATGGGAACTTGGTAGCCAGAGCATCATTCGGCAGTACAACGGACATCATCGTGGTGCTGTGTGTGTTGCGCTCAACGACACGGCCGTTGGCAACTAGAGCTTCACTCCCGACGCACCATCAATGGACATAAGACGATATCTGCAGTCATTGATAGCGTCTGCGAAACGACGGACAAAGGGTTTCCGGCATTTGCATCAGCGTTGGCGTTCTGGCATGGGATGGAAAGGGTAATGAGTTAATGACATCTGGTGTTTACGGCGAATGTGGTAGCTTCTCGTCTCGCATCAACGCAAGAAGCGAAATGTGTAGAACACGTCTAACAATGAGGTCAAGAATCTGAAAACCAAAATTTACATCCAAGAATACCATATAGTGGATTGAGATAACTACTATACCCACGATACGCTAAACGCATACACAGTGAGTGAGTTCTAGCAAGAGATTACTGAGATAAACCATGCTGCCCCCTTCAGGGTACACCAATTCAAGCACAGCTACTGGAAAGGATGTTTGTCGTAGTCTGACATATCCTAAGCTAGGCACTCTTTATTCGCACGAACCTCCTTTTGACATGTTAGTGTCCTCACTTTTCGTTTGCAGAGACTTTCGCTTACATAGTTCTGACGCTCACCCTGCACATACCTGTCCAGGCCTCTCTCCTCACACAAGCATGCCTGGTACATCTTCCACCTTTCTTGGCATTCTCCACATATAGCTGGAGTGTTTATCTTGCATCCTCCTCTGTTCCACCTTCCTCGACTTGTGTGTCACCTGTTCACCTTGACATCGTCGTCAGCACCTTCAATCTCCGCTACATTCTCACTTGCAGCATCCAACACGAGAGCCAACTCTTCTGCTTCTTTCTCAGCAGCTGCGTCGTAGTATGTAGAAGAGTCGAGTGTATCTGAAACCTCCTTTACGAGGGCACGCTTATCGTGTATGGCGTTAGGAGACGAAGAGCCGATACCGCCGCCTGGGAGGTTGTTATCGGGAGGCATGTTATCTAACATCATGCCAGATCTGAATACAGGAGTTGAAGGAAGGGGAAGAAGTGAGGAAGAAACATGGACTGGAACGGACGCTACTAGAGCGCTGAGGGTCGTGGCTAGAAGGGTCGTGGATTTCATGATTATGAGTTCGTCGATGTGATGAAGTTGATTATGTAGATGCGTGGGTGTGGCTACGAGTCTAAAGAACGAGGGAGGAAAGTGCGAAGTGGAAAGAGTGGTATTTATGCTCAGATGTCAGCTCTTATCATTCACACGAACAGTTGTCATGTTCAAATCTCATCGACAACTTGGACATCACATCCGCTTCTATTCCCATACACACACACCCTCTTCTCATGTACGTACCTCTAAAGTGCTCTTGCCCATCACATTTTCTTGTTCCTCTCCCTGAATTTCCTCACACTATTTCCAACCCCAAACCCATCCTTCAACAGCCCACCCACATCCTCCAACCCGAGCCCCGCTGTTTCAGGATAAATCCTCCAAATCACAATTTCAGCAATCATACAAACCCCTGCATAGAGGGCGAATGTGCCGACTGGAGTGAAGACGTTCATCATGGGCAGAAACGTGATCCCGATAAAAGTGTTGGATCCCCAGTTTGTAGCCGTAGACATTGCAGAACCCAAAGATCGAACCGAGAGAGGGAAAAGCTCTGACTGCTGCCAGGGGACATTTCCCATACCTATAGCATAGCCAGCGACGTAGGTTATCATTGAAAAAAGGATAATGAGAGGCCAAATCTTGTTGTTTCCAGCAATGGCCGTGGCAGACGCTTCTTCAGTGGGAAGGTTGATAAAGAGAAATGCGATGGCGCAGAGGGCAAGACCGATGATCATAATGGGTATGGACCAGAGGAGGATACGACGGCGCCCAATGCGGTCGATATAATGGAATGCCACCAGTGTGAAGAGAAAATTTGTTATGGCGATGGAGAGCGAGGTGAGCGTTGGGGATTCGAAACCGACGAGCCGGAAGATTGTGGCGGAGAAGTACATTAAGGAGTTCTGATGCCATGTTAGCAGTCATCAAAGAATGATCTGTTGGCGAGGGTACACATGTACACCGTTAGAGAACCCGAGAAGAAGAGACTTACAAATCCACATAGTTGCTGAAAGGCCTGTAACATACATGCGATAATCAGCGCTCTACGATTGCCCCCAATCGCAACTAGCTGGGAGAAGTTGTCCTGAATCCTGTCCATTTTGGCTCTCCAAGCACTCTTAGCCATATCATGAGTACCTCGCAATCCCGCAGCATCCTCTTCCTCTTCAATCTCCTTCTCCACACGCCTCAGTACGGCATTGACCAACTTTGTCCCATTTTCGTCGGTTTTGTACACTCTGCCCAGCACCTTCCTCGCTTGTTGAATTTGTCCAGCCTTGACAAGATATCGTGGTGTCTCAGGGAGGAGGAACAGCATGACGAATTGTATGGCAGCTGGTAAGGACCCCAGACCAACCATCCATCTCCAGCCATGCAGTTTCTCCGAGAAAAGCCACCCAACGATATAAGCAACAACCTGACCTCCAGTAATGAAAAGACTGCTCACCACTACCAGTCGCCCCCTGAAAGGACTGGGACTCAGCTCAGAAATATACAAAGGTACAACGAACGACGCGCTTCCGACTGCCGCGCCGACGATGGACCGACCTGCGATCATACCTCCAACAGTGCTTGTCCATGCCTGCAACAGTGCACCAAGTATGAAGAGTATATCCGCGACGAGGATCACAGTTTTACGACCGTATGTATCAGCGAGAATACCCGTTAAAGGCGACGCCAGAAGCGCAAAGAACGAGGTGCAAGACGTGATCAAGCTCTTGTCGAGGGTGGTAAGAGGTCGAGAGGAGAGGTCGGTATTTATAGATATGAGCGTGGAGGAGATTACACCAGTGCTGCGACCTTGTCAGTATGTGTTTGCTTCCACCGGTGTAGATGCCCTGAAACATGGCACAAAGAATCGCAACCATGCATGGATACATACTCATATCCAAACAGCAGCCCAGAAACCCCAGCACATATAGTCAGACACCATATAAATAGCCCTGGAGATAAGAGTGCACTCTCGTCGACCTCATCCTCTCCTATACTCTCATTGTCGTCTTCATCGTAGCGGTCGCGTACATCATGCGGAACGCCGCGGTCGTTGGAAATCAGGGGCTCTGCGGCAGCGTCACTCATGCTGTGTAGTTCCAAGTCTTCATCTGAAGTCGGCATACAGTATACACAGACATAAGAAGCGTGTACGGAAGGGGAAGCTGGCAGTAGCTGTCTTCTGGGGTAGTGTCGGAATGGCTGCGGGAGCGCGGAATGCTGGCTGCACGCTAGCAGGTGGGTCAGATCTGTGCCTGGTGATCCATGTCACCTGCATAATAAGCAGGGGTGGGTCTTCACTGGCACGAGAACATGAACTTGGATTTTGAACTTGATAGTATTGATAGTGGTAGAGAAGCATGCGCTCACATGAACGTGCTCTTCTTGCTTGTAGTTTTCCACTTGCCCCCTTCAACGCTTGCTCGTGGTCAGAGAACGCCAAAGCAATTCTCATGACTTGCTCCTCCGTGGCACGTTGCGATCGCGTGTAGCATAGCGAACGTGGCAGCTCCTTCCCTCCCTTGTCGTATCTTGCATGTCCATGACTCAATGGTCCATACCGTAATCCCTTATGCACCTATCATGCCCAGCCAACGCCTGTCGCTATGCCTCAAGCCACTCATCATGGTGACTAATCAACCCATCCACGCTAAGCGCATAGCAAAATCTGGTAAACAGACACGGAGAGCATGTCGCGAAACTTAGGAAGCAGGCCGCTGCGGACACCGCTCATCTGCGGCCAGCTTACTTTGAAGGCTCTCATTTAGGTTCGTTGCTGCCGTCCGGTGCATGGTTAGCGGGACCAGTGGGCGGAGCCTGGGGACCCGTCGAGTGCTGTTGCATCATAGGCTGCGAGTAGCTTCCACTGGGTGTACCACGATGTTGCTGGGGAAACTGGTGATGCTGCTGCGGTGAGCCATAGTGGCCGCCCTGGTATGGCTGTGGGAAAGGTCCTCGCATTGGAGTCACTGGAGTGATGTTAGTCATGTCGGATCAGTCACTGACGTGCTACCTACTGTTTGCTGGCTGCATTTGGTACATCTGAGGAGCTGGTGCACCAGGTTGCATATACATCATGGGCGGTTGTTGGTGGTGTCCTTGTTGTGATCCTTGATGGCTCATCATTGGCGCACCCGGCCTAGGGCTAGGAAATCCGCTAGCGCCAGGACCAGGCATGTGAGCACCGTATTGGGGGTACGCAGGAGCGGGAGCGGGAGAGTACATCTGCATCTGCGGATTGCCAGGCATTCCCATGAAAGGTCCGTTTGACGGCTGTTGTGTCATCATTTGGCCACCCATCGCCGGCCCTGGGCCATTCATGAACTGGCCGCCTTGTGGGTTCCGCATGGTGGCGTGCTGCATGCCGGGACTCATACCATACTGTGGGACTTGCTGAGGATAGCCTGGCATCGGTTGTGGCTGCGCGCCATACATGTATGGCGCCATAGGGCGTGGTGAAGGTTGAACCGATGACGTCGAATGCGAATACTGCATGTGTTGACCCCCGAAATGATGCTGGTCCTGGCCAAGATGCGGCTGTATTGGTGGTCCGCGAGGCGTGTGTTGAGCTGCCGGCCCTTGTGCCATACCTTGGGCCCCCTGAAGATGAGGTGGTAATTGATGCTGATGAGGCATAGGGCCATTGGTCATAACGTGTTGTGGTACCGACAACGGTGCGGGCGGAGGGGCATGGTCGAACAGCTGCTCGTATCCCTTATGTGTGTTCGAAGAAGGGAAGTCCCAGGTAGGAGGTGTCTTATACGGAGGCGCAATATCGGAGTGATGGGGCTTATCACTCGATTGGGCTTCCTTCTCGAGGCGTCCGATGGCATTGAAGGTTGTCGGTCCATCCAGCGCTTTCACAGTGGGCCGTTGGCCAGTGAAGAAGTTTGTGACAGGAGGCTTACGTACTTCTTGTCTTGAAGAGTTCGGCCTAGGGCTAGAGGTTGCACTGGGAGTTCCGCCAGGCTGGAAGGTACTGGCAGCCGGGTTCGGCTTGAACTCATGAGCGCGAACGTTGAACCTCGTAGATACACTGGAAGAAGGTGTCTGGGCACCGCTCGAAGGCTGCGAAGGACCAGTAGGTGGGATGCGCATGTCCTGAGCTGGTATCGGTTGAGGAACACCGTTATAGGGCACAGCACCTTGCTGCTTGTGCTGCTGGTGGTTCATCTGCAAACGAGTGCTGAGAAGTCCCTGGTTACGAGGAGGAATCTGGTTCATGTTCTGGTGAGAGCCCCGCATACTAGCAGATGTATAGGCTGGCTGCCCTGGTCGGGGACGTTGGTTTTGTTGACGGTCTACGTTGGCGCTAGGAGAGGCTTGAGTGGTTTCAGGCTTCACAACAGAGCGTGCAGCAGCCTTTGGGTCAGCAATACTGCTTGATGCTTTCGGAGATGTAGTCTTCATCTCTTGAGCTTGTCGGTTGGCCTTGTCAACGATGGCTTGCTGCTTCGTCTCGTCCTTAGCGAGTATGGGCACAAGATCTGACGGTACAGGCGTGCTCAACTTGAAATTGAGCGCAAACTTCTTGAGATCGTTAAGCTTTACAGCCTTGTTCTCTCGAGCAAACTGCCTCTGGCGGTCGGAAATGCGTAATTTTTCAGCAGCCGAAAATTGCTTGAACGAATCGAGAAGATCGTGCTCAACGTTTGTAGTGGCATCATGTGGCCGTCCAGCTTTCCTAGGAGGGATGGCAGCGACGCCCGACTTGATCATATTAGTTGGCTTCTGCAATTGCTCCGTGATAGCCTTGTGCGCATCAGTGGGTTTTGATGGCGCCTTGGAAGCATCATTAACGGCTTCCGGGACTTTCGTAGGCTCAGGTGTACCAGCTGCTGGCTTTGCGGGACTTGCAGCACGTTGTGTCGACTGCGAGACAGGTCGTGCAACAGAGGATGAGATTATCGCAGGGTCTACTGGCGCGCCAGGCACTGTCGCTTCAGGGGCGGGGGCACGTCGTGCGGGTGGGGTGTATCGGTTGGACTGGCCGCTTGACAAATTTGGGAAGTCTCGTCGTACTCCACTGTATTTGTCCTCTTCGTCGCCGTTGTCGTCGGCCGCAGTGTATCCTCCTCGCTCTTCGCGAACATGTGAGTTGGTTGCGCTACTGCCCTCAATCTCTCGAGCGATCTTCTCAGCGCGGGCGGCCCGTTCCGCATACTGTGGGTCGTTCTTGTTAATTGTAGTCGTGTACAGGTTTTCGTCGTAGTTGCTCTTCACGCCGAACATGCGCTCATTAGTGGCGAACTGATCCCAATCGCCGGTCCGTCCAGTGGATTCAAGAGTCATGTTGGGATCTACCTCGGACGGTTCCCATTTCTGGAGGTTGCGCTCGCGGAGCTCGAGCTTGCCAGAAATGTCGGTGTCAGTGCGGAAGCCAGAAGCGCCTTCTTTGTTAGTCGTGGCATGCGGATTGGTTTTGGATTCTGGCACTTACCATTTGGGCCCTTCAGTTGGGACTTGTCGAGAACCACGTTGTTGACATTGAAATCAGCCACGTCGCTCATGTCAAATGACATTACGTGGTAGTCCCCTGAGCCAACGTAGTCGTCGGATGACTGGCTGGCACCGTTGGTCTGAGCGTTGCTCGCGGGCAAGAGCTTCTTGACCATCTTGAAGACATATCGTAACTCGCTAGGATCTAGTGAGGTGCCTGAGAGCACACCGGAGTACTTGTCGCCATTCTTAAGTGTGATGATGCCCGGGAGCCCCTGTTTGTGATGGTCAGTCTTGCGCACTCGTGCTGCATCGAGAGCCAGCTGGCACTTACAGTGAGGTTGGCCAGCAGATACATCATGCGGTCGCTGAGGTGCCTCATGGCGGAAGCGTTGTCGGCGGAGGCAGCCGTCGAGCTCTGTGGGGGCTTAGGTGAGTTGACAGCACCGTTGGGGGTGGGAGAGTGAGTCGGGCGCTGGGTGATGGGATTGGTGCCCTGGGTCCATGCCGATTTGGCGGGAGGTTTTCTGCAAGTCGCCAAGTCAGCATTGGGCCAGGTGCAGGTGGATGGAGTGGTGTGGAAGAAAGAACATGGTGATGTAAGGCAATTGAGCACAATGCACGAGGAGGGAGCCGTCTAGTGGACAGGGTAGTCGCACCGTGACTCCATGTGACCGACGGCACGTCACACGAGAATATGCCGCATTGTGGAAGCACTCGAGGCATGCAAGCAGGCTCTTGGACAAGGAGCAAGCGGGGCAAGAAGGCAGGGGAAATGTTCATGTGGAAGGTGTAAGGAGCATGAGCTTACTTGTGACCGCCGTCGATGGGGCTTCCGGGCTTTCGCTGTGCGTCGATGCCTTTGGCCGCAGTGCTCATCTTCAGTTGCCTGGCGGAATTGGAGGCGGGGTTTAGAGCATTGGAGGAGGTATTGGGAGTCGCAGCGGCAGCGGACATGGATGGGGAGAGGGAAGCGCGGGCGAGCTCAGTAGCGTGGGTCGGTGGTTCGGTTTGTGGTTGCGGGAGAAGGAGCGATGGGCGGGGGAGGAAGGAGCTCCAACTCTAGGGTGAGAGTAGCGCAAGACGCTCAATGCGGCAGCAGGCGCAGAGTCGACGAGCTTTTGAAGGGGGCAGCCGGACGGCGGAGTTGCGGTGGTGACTTGGTATAGGAGGCTGTGCCCGAACAGCAGCCAGAGGTCGAGAGTGAGGTGCAACGCCAAGCGGATCGCCTGGATGAAACACAAGTGCAAGGTGCGGGAACTAGGCCAGCCTCAGGCAGTAGCCGTGAATGCTCGGTTGACGGCACGAGAGCGCAACGGTCAGGCAGGCCGCAGGATGGCGCGCGAGATGAATAGAGGAGACGGTGGGAGCGAGACAGCCGGGCCAGTCGAGCAGACGACAGCGGTGACAATTGATCGTGGCCTGTTCAGGGCTGCGCTCGTCGCCAAGAGCGTCGTTGTCGTAGGCTAGACGTCGCGCCTCACTCTGCTCTGTACATGCTTTTGGCGTCCGAGGCGCGCCCACGTCGAGCAGAAGACGCAGAGAGGGCATCTACAATTACGGGGCAACACCTGTTCGTTGCGCTCCAAGCATACTAGAGGTGCATGCACACAATGGTTACCCCAGTCAACCACGCACCCAGCAGCAGC